TTAAAGAGGTTAAAGTGATTGCCCTGGTTCCTGAAATAATGGAGATGAGATTTTTTTTTTTTTTTGAGTCAGAGTCTCACTCTGTCGCCCAGGCTGGAGTGCAGTGACACGCTCACTGCCACCCCAGCATTGACCTGCTGGGCTCCGGCGATCCTTCCTCCTCAGCCTTCAAGTAGCTGGAACTACAGGTGCACGCCACCACGCCCGGCTAGTTTTTGTGATTTTTATTGTAGAGACGAGGTCTCACCAAGTTGCCCAGGCTGGTCTCAAACTCCTGGGCTCAGGCAATCCTCTCGCCTCGGCCTCCCAAAGTGCTGGAATGACAGGCTGAGCCACCACGCCCGGCTGGAGATTCTAAAGCAAGCCAGCTTGACCCCAGGACCGCAGCTTGCAACCCCTGCCAGTTTCCACGGCTGCCCAAGGGTCCTGGATCTCCTCACACTTGAACTGTTTGGGGCCTGTGGTGGGTCCAGACACAGACAGATTTAAAATTTGGGTGTAGTCTTCTATTTTTACTTCCATTGAGGACATTCTTTCACTTCTTCGTATCCTCAGCAGATTTTTTTCTTCCATGCGACTCCCACAAGATACTTCCTGCCAGTGTTCCAAGAACCTAACTCCTTCCTGCTGTGGTTAAGGCCAGTTCTTGTTTTCAGTGAGGCTGAGGGACACACCTCCACGGCACGCTGACTCCCACCAGAGAATTTCACTCCTGATGTCCCTTAGGCCCTATTTGTTGTTCAGCTGGATTCATTGGCACATGTTGACTGAGCCGCTATGAATGGAAAGGTAGTTTTAGGCCCCAGGAAGACAGTGGCGGAGAAGCAGAGCCACGTCTGGTTGCGGACTTTGGTTCACAAAGGGATGCTTCTCTTTCAGACTAAGTTTTCGGGGCCAGTCATCGTACAAGACCTAACAATTGGGTTTGCAAACCATCCTAGAAAAAGTGCGATACACCTCACTGCTGAATATCACCACGGTCACTTTCGAAGTCCTCCCCTTCGGAAGTTAGGCGCCGTTGCCAGCCCCTAGCCCACCCGTCAAAGCAACTTTGGAAGGCTTTTTCTGGAATGGCCATCAGCGCTGTTGTCGTATTTGTTGAGGCAGGATGATTAAGTTCATGAACTTGCCACGGGCGCTTACGTTGGCAACACTGCACAGCAACACTGCGCAAATAACTGTACAGGAACGCCCCGTCCCTCCTTCTCTTGTCTGACCCTTGGTGACGTTTTTCTCCACCTGAAGATCAAGGAAATACTGAAAGGAAGACATCTGATGACATTCAGGATGTCAAGGGTAATACAGTGACGGCTCTGATGGCCATTCCTGGAAACGAGCTCCTAAGTTGCTTTGATGGGTGGACTAGGCACTGGCATCGACATAGAGCTTCCCCAGGGGAGCGCTTCAAAGGTGACCATGGTGATACTCGGCCATGGGGAGTGTAGCACTTTTTGCTAGGACGAGTTCACGAACTTAATTGTCAGACTGCGCAGGCACTGGTATTTGTACTACGTTGTCCCATTCAACTACCACAAAAACATAAGGAGGAAAAGGTTATTTATATATTTCGAGATGGGTTTTCGAGGCCCAAGCTGGCTTCAAACTCCTGGGCTCAAGCAGCCCTCCTGCCTCAACCTCCCAGGTAGTTGGACGGTAGGCATGTACTAACTAACACAGGCAAAAGTTATCATCCTCCTTTTTCAAGGACACACACTAGGGTCCTAGAGGCCAGATCACGGAACTTGAAAAGGGAAAAGTTCAGCCTGGGCAACTTGGCAAGCCCTCGTCTCTACAGTAAATCAAAAAATAAACCAGGTGTGACAGCACGCACCTGTAGTTCCAGCTACTTGGAAGGCTGAGGCGGAAGGATCGCCTGAACCCAGCAGGTCGTGGCTGCAGTGGCTGTGAGTGTGCCACTGCACTCCAGTCTGGGCAACAGAGTGAAACTCCAGTTCAAAAAAAAAAAAAAAAAGAAAGAAAGAAAAAGGAAGAGTTTGGAGGTGAACACCGGTGGACGTAAAGAACATCAAGGGTCTTCTCTTCTGCTTTCGTGAGAAGGGAATCGTTTTCCTGCCGCTTCAGAGATATGCTGGGGTGTCGCCATTTCTTGACTCCACATTTGTGACCTGAGCGTGTCATTCACATTCTGACCTCTTTCCAAGAGCCTAAATCCGCGACAGTGGTACGGTTTAAGAAGAGAGGGATTTCTCCTAAACCGAGCCAATGCTGGGAGTGGTACCCAGTCCATGGGCTCTGGGTACCACGAAGGCTGCACCCTACTCCACCGCACACTGCAAGGATGTGGCAGGGGCACAGAAGGAGTAATCACAGGATGCGGCGGGGAAGCGAGATCCGGGGTGGGTGGCTGCCCTAAAGCAAGCATTCCACGGAAGCAGCTGTCAGCAGAACTGAGAAGACACCCAGGCTGCGTGAGTCAAGGGAAACGCCAAGTGATCCAGGCTGAATTTCTTGCCATTCCAAAGGGATGGAAGCTCAGAATTGAAGTTAGATTTTGGGGAAGAAAATAGAATATACCTGGCACAGCTGGTCTGAGGGTCACACATGTTACGTATACAGAAGAGATCAAAAACATGGTACTTTCTACATAATGAGTGTGCTATATTGTTATTATTAACATCATTATTACTACCATTAATATATTCTAAGTATAGTTTTCTAAGTGTTTTGTCTCCTTTTTTAGGAAAATACATATACTTCCTGGATGATGATCACATTTTTAGCCTCCAAAGACCAGAAAGAAATAATATCACTAGACAGTTAATAAATAGGTGATCGACTCTAAGTGAACTAGAACAAAAGCCTGGAGGTGACATCACAGACATCACTCTCATTTCTGCAGTGTGTAGTCCTCCCATGTACTCAAACAGAGGCAACCTAAGACAAAATTATGAAATATTGAATATCCCCCCCACCCCAGTTCCTGAACTATTCCCATCCACCTAAGTTGGGCTTTCAGAAACCTCTTGCTCTCAGCTGCCTTTCAACAAATCTTTCCTCAAGGAGGTGGCTCCTTAAAGAGCTGCTATATCAGGGGCATTTCCACTGCCATACAGAACTCTGGAAGACATAAAGAACATCAAAATATTGAAGTGAGACCCTCTGCTGGAAACTTGTAGATAGCCGTGGACTCTACTGGAAGTCTCAGGGGCATGATGGCTAGTTGGTGAGGGAGATAGTTTTTGAGTGAGGGATCTTCCACCGGAAGTCTTCCTGTTTTCCCAGGATGCCTGCCGTTGTCAGTGTCTTGACCAAAAATAAACCATGCAGGTTCTACTGGAGAATCACAGGAGCCCATACAGAGGAAGGAAAAGAAGGTGATCCAGGGAGGGGAAGGAGAAAAGAAAAAGGACACACACACACACACACATACACACACACACGGAAGCCACTGGAGCATGGCTTTATCAAATTGAAGCAGAATTCTGTCTGCCCAGAATGGTTCCCTAACTTATCTCAGTCAAATACAAACAAGAGAGGCCCTTCCTTAGCACCAGGGCATTTCATGAGCTCAAGTTTCACATCTTAGTTTCATAATGAACAACGAATCTCTCGGGATTTTCCAGCCCAGGTCAGCGCTGAGAAGATCCACTCTGCAGAGAGAGCAAGGAACTTCCTCCTTTTTGATACCACGTCCACCAGAGGATGAATAAGCAAAGAAGAGTGAATCATGCTTAGAATTCATTTTATACATGCAAGCCATCTCACAGTGAGTAGCAAAGATGCCTAAGCAACCGTGTTTCTTTCAGGTGTCATTCAAGGGAGTTCAAGGAAGTCTCTCGTGTCTTGAGTCGCGTTCCCATCTGCTCCTGGAAAGCTCTGATCCTGTTTCTCATTTATCAGAGTGAAGCCTGTCCTGGGGGGTGGGGCGGTTCTTGGAAGGTAACCCCCATGCAGCCTTATCTCAGGGTCCCCTTCTTTACTTCCAGCTACCGCGGAGGTGACATCATTGTTGAGTGGTGATCATCCCTCTGTCCTGGACTCTCGTAAGCTTGTCACTTGCCATCGTGGACATTATCTTGGTTCTCATTCTCATGGACATGATGGGTGTGAGGCTCCCTTGGGTTCTACATGCAATCCAGACTCCCCACACTTACTCTTGGCTTGTTGGGCCAATGTTTCAATGGCCGAAATCAGCCCCAAGCCCTGGCCGAGAGTAGCTTTCACTCCATAGGGTAGGAAGATCAATGATAGGGAATGGTTGGGCTGGTGGCGGGTGACAGACCAGCTGCCTTTATGAGTGCCATCCCTGTTTCTGTAGTAATTATAAAGAAATGGACTGGCAATGCTGAGGTTAGGGAACTCCATATGTCACCTTTCTCTGCATCTGTCTCCTCTTTCTCCCAAAGGTCACAGGTAAGCCCAAGATCGGAAGGTCAGATGTGGCATTGAACCAGAGTTGGAACCTTACCATCCGATGATGCTTGCGGTGTCACATTTGGAGCAAGGATCATTTGAGTTTAAGCAATATGTAGTTTGAAGTAGTAAATATCCTCTTGTTTAAGTGAGGGGTGGATGAGGTTATTTTGCATTTAAGAAATCTATTTTTAAAAAAGGCCAGGTGCGGGGACTCAAGTCTGTATCTGAGCATTTTGGGAGCCCAGATGAGAGGATCACTTGAAGCCAGGAGTTCGAGACCAGCCTGGGCAACATAGTGAGACCCTGTCTCCACACACAAAAAAATCCAAAAATTAACCAGGCATGGTTGTGCATGGCTGTAGTCCCAGAAACTCGAGAGGCTAAGGAGGAAGGATTATCTGAGCCCAGGAGATCGAAGCTGTGGTGAGCCGTGACCATGCCACTGCACTCCAGCCTGGGCAACAGAGTGAGACCCCCAACTCAAAAAAAAGAAAGAAAGAAAGAAAGAAAGAAGGAATCTGTTAAAAAAAAAAATACAACCCACACGGGCCTAAAGTGACATAAGTATCAATGAAAACCACAATCTCACTATCCCAAAGAGGTGAGGTGTTAATGGAGGAACACTAGTCAGCGATGCGTGTTGAGGAGGGGATCCCTAAGGTCACCATAAGCACCACAGGGTGCAGCCCCAGGCCAGGGTTGTGATGAGGAAGGCAGCCGAGGGCAGAGGCTGACAAGGCCAGGGACGATTCCTGGGACATGAAGGGGTCACCCAGGGGAAGCCTCAGAGCATGCAGATTCTCTTGCTGGAACATTGACCAGGTTACCTTGGGCACAAAACTAGGGAGAATGGAAAACTCAGGGGGAACCATTTTAGGGAAAGGAAGTTAATGCCCCAGGCTGCCGACAAGAAAGCATCTCAATTTCCCAAAATCTCATGTCAGAAGATGGCACACAAAAATAGTCATTAATTGGATTTTAACGAGTCCACCAAGCATTACTGTAAGACTGGCACCAGAAAAGAAGCCCAAATTCCCTGCTGCAGTCATCCCTGGGGAAGCCCACTGTTTTGCTATTTCCTATTGCTGTCTGCTTGACTTACCCCCTCTGTTTTTCTGTGGGGAAAATCGGCTCTGTGAGCAAATCCTGTAATTTCAGCGGCAAGCCCTCTTATTATCGTTGGCACCTCGGCAGCAGAGTTTGGCTGTTTCAGTTAGGACAGGGATCTCTTCACATTTTTCTTGTTACCCAAGAGTTCCAGGGCCTGGCTGGCGCTGGCTCCTCCTGAGGACACAGATGTTCTTAGTCTCTTCTGCTCTTCAGGCCTTAGATGCATCTGGCCTGGTGGCATCTTCCTCTGACTTCATTGGGAACTCAGATTGTGAAGCTGTAAATGTATAAAACAGGGAAGGTGGCCGGGCTCGGTGGCTCAGCCTGTCATCCCAGCACTTTGGGAGGCTGAGGCGAGTGGATTGCCTGAGCCCGTGGGTTCGAGACCAGCCCAGCAACTTGTCGAGACCTTGTCTCTACAATAAATCAAAAAATAATAATAATAAGCTGGGCATGGTGGCTCGCGCTTGTCATTCGGGCTACTTGGAAGGCTGAGGTGGAAGGAGTTTCTTAACTTTTCTGTGGTTCTTCTACCCATTGACTGACAATTAATGGGATTTTTTAAAAAATTAAGAATGTCTCTTCAAAGAGAAACGAATTCCCAGGTTCGTCAAGAAGGAATTCCACCCATGCTCACATCTGGCACCAATCTAACACCAGTCATTGCATGATTAGGGGTTTCTACACCTCTCTCTCGGGCAAACTTTTTTCTTTGCTGGACAAAAAGACCCCATCTTACTACTGTGTGACAGCCCTAAATATGTTTTACAACCTTCATTGCACACATATGTTCAGAAAATGAAAGGAAGCCAGACACGTGCTCTTTTAAAGCTCTTTAACAAACTTTTTAACTTTTCCTGATCGATTGACCTCCCACTGTAATCTGACCATCCTCTCAATGGTACCCCGTGTTCACCACCAGAACCGAAGGTCAAGGTTTTTTCCATTTTGCTCAGTGCTGTGCCCTACTACCGAGACCAGTGCCTGGCATGGAGTAGGTACCCAGTAAAATTCTGGTGAAGGAGCAAAGGAGGGAAGAATACTTCCACGGATCCAGTCTCAGACCCTTTCACTCACTTTATAAGCATTATATTGACTTTTAGGGTCATCTGATAGACTTCCTTTACTCTATTCTCCCACCTTTAATCAGTCTGTCATTTTTTGTACTTCTTATCACATTCAACTTAATTCTTCCCTGTTGGGTCCAAAATCTAGTCCAGAAGTTTAACATCTCCTACCTGGAGTCTTTTATTTTATTTTATTTTATTTTAAGTTGGAGTCTCACTCTGTGACCCAGGTTGAAGTACAGTGACATGCTCACAGCCACCCCAGCGTTGATCTTCTGGGCTTAGGCTATCCTTCCGCCTCAGCCTTCCAAGTAGCCAGAACTACAGGCGCATGTTACCACGCCCAGCTAATTTTTTGATTGACTGTAGAGACAAGGTCTCGCCAAGTTGCCAGTGCTGGTCTCGAACCCATGGGCTCAGGCAATCCTCTCACCTCAGCCTCCCAAAATGCTGGGATTATAGGCGTGAGCCATTACGCCTGGCCTAACTTTTAAATTTTTTGTAGAGACAAGGGTTGCTGTGTTGCTCAAGCTGCCAACACATACTTTTGAAAATTATAGTTGCCTCAAATATTAGTTCCATAAATATTTACCAACTAGGCACCAGACTTAGTTTGAGGTTCTAGGGACATAATTCTTGTTCTTAAGAATTCTTTGTTCTTAAGAAAGTCAACAGATAATTACAATCAACTGATAAAGATATGCCAGCTCTCAGCTGCCCCTAGGGGCTTTATAGGAATCAGTGACAATGGAGAGCCCTGAATCTCAGAAAGCACATAGGTGGGACACACACCCTTTCCTCAGAGCCAAGAAAGTCTTCCCAGAATAAGTCTAAGAGGAGTTGTAAACCAGGTGAGAGTGTGGAGGGAAGGAGGGAGGTGAGGAAGGTGAAACTCACAGAGGTAAGAGAAAGGGCAAAGATCAAGAAAAGCAGGGCACATTCTGAGGACCAGGCCAATGCGGCTGAAGCAGAGGGATGTGTGTGTGTGTGTGTGCTTGTGCGTGTGTGTGCGTGCGTGCGTGCATGTGTGTGTGTGTGTGCATCTAATGAGGAAAGGGCATGTTTCCAGAGCCAGGACTGCAGAGGAATGCAGAAGCCTGGATTGTTCTAAGTTCCATAAGAAGGCCCCTCCTGACAGTTCTGGAGCCATGGAACGATTTAAGCAGGGACAATATACGGTCACATTTGCACTCAGAAGTGTCATCCCAGCCACCTTGCGGAGTCTTGATGGGAGAAAGACACAGTCAGAGCCCAGTGGATCACACTCCAGCTTCTTGGGCGCCAGCGTCCCTGCGACCTGCGCTCTCTCTTTCTCCCTCCTCTCCAGCGCTGCTGTCAGTCCTTCTCTCTGTCTTTCTGACTCCACAGCTGTAGTTGGTCTTCCTAACAGCTTCCTCTTTCTCCTCCCTCCTCCCTCCTCTGTGTCTCCGAATCTGCACTTTCCTCCGCCTGTGGGATGCTCCCAGCCATTTTCTCCCCTTCCCGTCTCCCATGGAGGCCACACTCTTAGGAATTTGACTCTGCTTTAAAGCATCTTGTGGTCCCTCCCAGGTACCGGGAGCCACAAAAGGCTGAACTCAAGATGCACTTGTGACAGTCGATGGGGATTTGAGATGATGACCCAGGCGGGGTTTTAATACCTTCATACCTGCCCCGGATGGAGGTATCCACCAGTGGTAGGTGTGGCTGTCATTATGTAATTTCCTGTGGGGAAAGCTTTTTCTTTTTTTCATCCACATAAACTCTGAAATTCCTCCTGGAGGTTCATTCTAGTAGCTTCCACAGTTGTATCCCCCTCAGAGGCTGAGTTCTCAATGTAAAACAAAGCTTCTACTGCTTATTTTTACTTCAGTTTGAAACCATCTCAGACTCTTTTTGGGTGGCTTGACAGCAGCCTAGCCAGAGGACGATGAAGTGGACTGGGAGAAGGAATCAGGGATCTGGGGCTGGAGAGGAAGCATTGACAACAGGGATGGAAGCCACCAAGTCAGAAGACAAGCCTCTCCACTTCCTGGTACTACAGCAGAAGCAGAGCTAGGTTTCTAGAACACTGTTTCTCAAAGTGTGGTCCCTGGCCAGCAGCATCAGCCTCTCTTAGGAATTTGTTAGAAATGCAAAATGTGGGCGGGCTCAGTGGCTCCCACCTGCACTTGGGGAGGCCCAGGCCAGAGGAATACCAAGAAAAGGCAGAAAAGACAAAGAAGATGGGCAACACGGTTGGTTCCATGTTTTTGCTGTTGTGAATAGAGCTGCAACAAACATACATGTGCAGGTATCTTTTTTTGTAGGATGATTTGAGCTCCTCAGAGTATATTCCCAATAGGAGAATTGCTGAGTCGATCATACTCAGTGATTTATCACAGAAACAAAGAACAGAGCTCCATATGTTCTCACTCATATGGATCTTGGACAATCATACTGCTATAAGAAAGCGACTGGCAGCAGTGGGAAACTGTCGGGGGTGGGGGTGGGATTGGCAGTTGAGGGAAACTGCTAGGGGAGGGAGGGGCATACCTCATCAACAAGGGTACCTGCATGATCGGTGTTTATATACCTAACCCGGAAATGGACCCCACATCTTTATAATAAAAATTAAAAAATATAAAAATTTAAAAAATAATAAATAAAAGAACAGACGAAGAAGAAATGCAAAACATTGGCTTCCTTCCCACACCTCCTGAATCAGAAACTCTGAGGGAGGGGTCCAGTAATGGTGCTTTGGGGACCACTGCTCCGAAGTTTAAAGGGAGAATCTACCAAAAAAAAAGTTTTGTCTCCTTCCCTCCTTTCCCTGTTCCCAGGCAGCAAGAATAAGAAGATTAAATAAACAAACAAAGAAAAAGAAAAAAACCCAGCTTTTTTTTGAGACCTGTGAATGGCTGGATTTAAAGAGGCTCTATTTAAAAGTCTCATTCAAAAATAAAAACAGCCGGGCGCGGTGGGTGGCTCACACCTGTCATCCCAGCACTTTGGAAGGCTGAGGTGAGATTGCCTGAGCTCAGGGGTTCGCGACCAGCCTGGGCAATTTGGCAAGACCTCTACAATAAATCAAACAATCAGCCAGGCATGGTGGCGCGCACCTGGAAGGCTGAGGCGGAAGGATAGCCTGAGCCCAGCGGGTCAATGCTGGGGTGGCTGTGGACATGCCTCTGCACTGCGGCCTGCACTCTTCTTTTGCATAGGCTCATTTCTAAACTCTTGTTAAAGTCCCTTTTTTTATTACAGGCCAGGGAGTCCTCAGGTTCCTGTAACTGTGCATGAGTCACGACTCACAACGGTCTAGACGTGTTCTTGGTAAATGTGCTGTGGAGTTTCCTGAAGCCCTGGGAGCCTCACAGCACTGCCCAGCTGCCTCTCGGGATAACGCTGCTGTGGTTTTCCTTCTACAGAAATATTTAAACAGGCTGATGTACAGGATAATCCTTTCTAAATGTGATTTAATTAACCAGCAAGGTGCTTGAAGGAGCGTAGATAAAACACAGACGTCTGGTTTGTGCCTAACGGAGGGTCCCATTGCAACTTGGAAATTGAACAGGCCCACATGTATTAACCTGCCCATTCATTAGATATTGAGGACCTACTGTTTGCTAGATGCTATTCCAGACACTAGAGAGAGAAGAGCGAACAAAACAGAAAAAATGTTTGCCTGGAGACAGGCAATAA